AACCCGGGCCGCCAGTAGCAGAGCATGCGCACTTAACCGCTGAGCCACGGGGCCAGCCCCTTACTTTATCTTTCTTAAAGTTGACATTTTTGAAGAGTCTAAGCTACTTGTTATGCAAGCTATCCATGGTAGGGATTGTCTCATTATTTCCTCTTTAGATTCAGGTTAAGCATTTTAGGCAGAAATACTATATACGTGATGTCGTGTCCTCCTCAATGCAGTACATAAGGTTTACACATTACTTTTAAGATTTATGTTTTTATGTTGGATCATGAATGCCTTTTTTTTTTTTTTTTTTGGTCACATAGGAAACATTCTCCTTTGCAGAAATAAGGTCTATTTTGGAGATGGGAGGTGGCAGTGACTGGCAGTGAAGTGATGATTTCACTGTTTCTTTGTTGTAATGACAGCCAAGAGCTGAGTCAACCCTTAAGGAAAGAAGAGACAACATTGGCCATCCAAGGGCACCAAGAAGACAAAATTAATTAGCAAAGTGTGCAGTGGGCCATGGTTTTGACTATGAGATTTGTATATTCTATAATTAATTAATTAGTTAATGAATACTGCAAATATTTATTGAGAACCTATTAATACCAGGCACCATTATAGAAGCTGGAACACAGGAATGGACAACAGTCACTCCCCACACCGCCTTGGCTCCAGCCACTCACACTCCGTTCTGCCTCAAGGTCTTTGAAATTATTTTCCCTCTAACACATAAAAAATATCTCTTGATTTGCCACCAACCTTCTCTGCTACTTCAGAAAACTATTTATTTTCTAGTCTCCACATCTCAGTGATGGAACCTCCATTTGCCTAAGTGCAAATGCAGAAATTCTTGGAAGCATCTTTGAATTCTCTCATTCCTTAACCCCAACCAATCAACCCAATAGCAAGTCCTGCGGTCATTAGTTGAAATTACGTCCCTGCACTCCCACACCCCTTCCCTTGGACCCCTGCTTCTGTTTCTTTCTCTAAAGCCACAGAATTGTAATGGGAAAAGTCCTTGTTCACGTCAGCCTGGCAAGCAGACAACTGGTATAGAATCACGGCTGATTCTTGTCAATCCCATTGCCGAGAATAATCAATAAGCAAAGAAAAGTAAATAAAGACTGAATAGTATTCAAGTGACTTTACTGCCAGATCACTTATGAAATTACTGAAAACAGTGTCAACTGAGTGAGAAGGTCAGGTGTCAGATTGCTTTGAGTTGAAGTGTGAAGAGGAGACAAAGATATCAATTCTTCAGATCCTCTATTCTAGGAGATTTAATCAATGTGGAACAATTGTCTCAAAGTCAATTTCACCAGGATTCTGTTTTCCCCTACAGTGTAATTCCATATTCTAATCCATATTACAAACAGTGGGATTAACCAGCCCAACAGGGAGCCCATGACAAATAAGTTTAGCCTTTAAGAATACATATAATGCCTTAAGGAGAATGTTGGCAGAAACAACCAAGTTCAAGGTGCTTTGGTGAAAGCTCAGAAACAGATGAGGAAAACGTTATTTGAAACTGGAGGAAAGGTGACTCTTGTCTATAGTGGGAGAAAACATTGAATTGTGTCCTACCATTGTGTGGAAAGCAGAACTTGTAAGTGATGAACTTGGATATTTAGTTGAGAAGAGCAATCCTCTGTGGCTGGAAACTCCACCCTCTGGGTCCATATAATTTATACTTTATAGAATTACTGACAGTTAATATACCATGGTTAACTGAAACTTGAATCACTGAGGGACTTGGGTTAATTTAACTACCCGCGGTACCTGAGTTCTGTGCATATAGGAACCATGTAAAGTGTGAACTGTGTGTGTGTGTGTGTGTTTCTGGTCTAACCATACCTCAGCCCCACCACTGGCCTTCAGCACGTCACTCCAGTCATTTAAGTAGCTCCTAGGCTCCTTATCCACAGAAGCCTTTCCCAATAAAGAGATATTTTTTCCTTTCATTCCATTGTGTTTAGACATTTCTCTCAATGATGTTTTGTCAGATGTGTACAGAGATGCATGGCAACTGGACTTTTGGTGGTGAACAAAATGTAGTCTATACAGAAGGCAAAATATGATGGTCACTTGAAATTTATATGGTATAAACCAATGCTACCTCAATAAAAAAATGAATTAAAAAAAATAAAAACCAAACACAAAATAAAATTTCTAAAAAAGGCCCAAAAATATATAACGTTTTATAATTCTCCTAATGAAGAATGTTTCAAGGCTATTTTACTTAAAAGAAATTTCTCCTATGTGGGGGAAGTTATTGAACAACTGCCATCAAATTGAGCCAAAATTATTATCAATTTCTACTTTAATCTATTTATAAGTTCTAATTGGAGGATTTTATTTCTAGCACTATTAATGTAAATTTCACAAATATCTAATTGGATTCAATAATTGTGGTAAACAGTAGTTTTTTTAACCTCATATTACATATATCTTTACAGCCCCCTTGAGATAAGTGGAGACTTGCAATTAGTTTTAGGGAATGGAATAAGAGAAAATGCGTGTCACTTCCTGGTGTTGGATTTTGAGTCTCGTGTGCCATTTTAACACTCTCTCTTCTTCTAGCTGGAGTGACCCTGTACTATTTCAGCACAGGACTGAGGGAGTCAGATTCCTGGGTGGGGGCTGGAGCAGTGCCCGCTGACCCTCCCTGCACTTCACAAGAAGAGGTACTAAGTTTTATCTTCCTAATAAGAAACTGAGATTACCACAGCATAGCATGCCTACCCTGATCAATGTAGGGGTTACTCCTAACCTCAATGAAATGGGCTCTCGAAAGCTCTCCTGACCACCTTTCTCACAATATAGAGATAAAAATTACAGATATACAAAATAAAACTCTTTTATTACCAGGAGTTGTAAACAATACACATATAGGCTTCCAAATAGAAGCATTTTCTAAAATGATGGTAGTTTAACATAATGTAATGCAACACAGGTCTGTGGTATTTTGAGGTTATATGTGGACATGGTTTTTTAAAATGCAAGACAAAAGCAAAACAAATAGAATTCTGAAAAGAATTTGTATAAAGACAAAATGAAAAATTGAATGTGATACTTTTTCTACCTTTTACCTTAGTTTTATAAATTGGCTTAAGTGTAACCCTGGCCACTACTTCACAGGAGACGTCTATACGCTGGCAGGATTAGACTCCACCAACCTCTCGAGTGTCCTACAGGTTAAGCCAAGTTACCCACTTCTGTTCTGCTTAATCATGGGGCAGGTGTTCATTGCCCTTACTGGAGGGTCTCAGCCATTGTCACGATATCACTGGTCACATTCCCTTTCATGTGGCCTTCCCTCCTCATCTCCTCCACTCTAACCATCCCCCTTAAACACTAGTTCCTTCAATAGTGGTCTAAACGCTTTCTGGCATTAAATGGATCTCTACGACTCCAACATTACAGAAAGTAAAAACTTTCTTCAATATATTTGAAAGCATGGAATTAACATTTAATAAACTGGTGAATTTCTAGAAATGGAAAATATATAGGAAAATCATAAATGCTGTGAGAGCATTTATGAAACCTTGAAAAGACAATGTAAAAAAAAAAAACAACCTGGCATTTTTATGTATTTTATTTCACAGTTACAAAAGCACTTTGCATTTGTTTCCTGCAACATTTCTGTGAAATAGGCCTGATAAGTAATATGTTATAGTTAGTGAAACAGAGGGACAGAAGATGACTGTCTTCTAGGTGTTAACAAACAAAACATGCTGCACTATCTTTGCAATTTCCTGTGACTATCTGATTACTTTACAAGTTAAAAAACACACACAACCAAAAGCCAAAACACCATAACTCTTGAGATCATATCATCCCAACAATTAATAATTATATAATATTCCAAGTGGCATTCATGAAAAATAGGAAGAAAAATATCAACATGCAAAGGTCTCCCAGGTAGATCTTCATTCCTGGGTTACTATACAGATTGTAAGAATGTCTGAAGTAGGTCCAATATAGAAATAAGCCCTAAGTTTTTCTCTAAATGTATCAGTGTACGTATAGATATGAGACCTGTTATTCAAATTATAAAATGAAACCTCTCCCAACTCATAGTCCAGAAAAATGCTAATCTGCGTGGATATTATTATATCCAATGCAACACAGGTGTAAGACCAGAGCTGGATTCGCCAGCATCCATCTTTTGGGGATGGTGAAGTCATAGCATTTCTGGGAAAAGATTCCTTACAGACACCTACGGCCCATTCACCATTGCCTCTTACTTCCACCTGCCAATAGTGCCTGCCAGAAACAACCATCTGAAGACTCAGGACAGCTGGCAAAAAAGTAAAGTTGTTGAGATTGTAAGGAAAGTTTGCTTTCAGCTTTCCTAAGGTCACACTTTTTCTGTCTTCTGAGATGATAAGATTGGGGTGTGCAGTTTCAATATCTAGTGTCAAATTGACCTTAAACAGGTTGATCATTTTCTGTATGATCATTTAATTGTATGAACAACTAAAATATTGCTCATAAGGACTGAAACATTTTTCCTTGAATTCATATGAAAAGAAGGCTGGGGTGTTCAGGTTTTCACATTTGTTATAGATACTTTCAATACCTGTGAGTATATCCAGGTCTGACTGCTCACACATTTCTGCTGTTTCAAACAGAAGCTTTTTTAGTGTGGACACATGCTCTGAGAATTTTACTTTGTTTTCATTCAGTTTTTCTTGAACAGCATTCTCTGCAATCTGTAATTTGAAAATAATTAAATTATTCTCTTTTCTAAGGAAACTCTTAAATTGTTTAAAATCGGAGTCTAATTCCCCCCTTTGAATCTTCACCTTTCCCTGCAATTCAAATGATTTTGAAATTTGGATTTCTAACTTCTTTTCAGCATCTTCAACCTGCTTCTTCAGGGGCTTGATGTAGCTTCTGAGCTTCCTCCTGTGACTAGCTGCAGCTTGTTCAGTGGGCGTCAGGGGGTGATCCCGGTGGTCAGAGGAGACCCTGCACTGGGGACACAACAGCTCCAGGTCCTCCTCACAGAACAGGGCCAGAACCTGATTGTGCTTCTCACACAGGGGCTTCTCTTCCTGCCCTTTCCTCTTGCTGCTCGTGGTGGGAAGCTGCTTAACAATATCAGTCAGGTGACCTAACTGGGGGTTCTTCTTGAAGCTCCTGTCAGGGCAGTGGTGGAGGCAGATGGGACAGGGGAAGATGTCCTGTAGTTCTTCCCAGCACTGGTGGATGCAGGAGAGACAGAAGTTGTGCCCACAGTGAATGGTCACTGGGTCTCTCAGGTAGTCCAGGCAGATGGGGCAGCTGGCCTCTGCTTGGAGGTCAGCCAGGGAGGCTGCAAAGGCCATTGTGCAGGGAGGGTGTCTGTCTGAGGAGATTCTCTTCAGTAAGTATGATCCTCAAGGAACTAGGAAAGGTGAGAAGCTGATGTGTCGTCAGCAGTCACCCTCCTGAAGACAGCCTGAAGTCTTCCCAGGATCCTAGGCAGCTATAACCCCACAAGCCTGTTTCTGCTTCCTTCCCTTCAGCTCTAGAAGCAGCTGCCAGGAGGAGATATGGCCCAGGGAGTCACTGATCCCCTGGCTCTGGATCACCTTTATTCCAATTCATCTTGGCTTATTAGTCCTCTTTGTCAGCAAAGAGCTGCAACTTCAAGAAGTGATGGAAATTAATGACCATGTAGGGAATTCCAGATGTCAACACTCAACAGGACAATTGACCAGATTTCTTCAACATAAAACAACAAAGAGAAAACAGTAAAATATATATTAAAGTAATGAAGGCCATGTATATCAATGACAAAGATTTACCTAAGTTATTTTTCTGCTCCAAATACATATATTTCTAAGGCTAAAAAATACCAATAAGTCAATTGGAATAGTGGAACTCTCATTATATAAAAAAATGCTTGATTATTAACGATATTATGACCTTGTTATTAAAAAGAGGCTCACGCCATTAGACACTATAGTCTAGTCTAGTTTATTTACACATAAACTAACATGTGGTTGGGATTTGCTTCGTAATATTGAGGGGCAGATGAATTGGGGACATAAGTTTATAGATGTCTGCATAGAGTTTATTGTAATATTTTCCCTACTATTTTATATGTTTAAGATTTGTCTAATAAAAAACATTTTTAAAATGCTAACCATTATTGTCAATGTATTGCTGCCCCCATTCCAGCCAACCCAGCTTCTCTCATTATTTTTCTTTGAGGCTCATCTTTCACATTCCCTTCATTTCAAAGCTCTGAGATCCTCGATTCTCCCCTCTTTCTCTTCACAGTTGACATAAAACTGCCCTCATGCTCCTTCCACTCCAACTCCATCTCCTTCCTGGTCCCCACTCCTCCAACCCCACATAAATCTCCCAAATCAAGATGAATTCAGTTTGTGGCAAGAGTGAGGCCAGGCATAAGGATTCTATCAGCTAATATCATGGAGTCACTGTCTACAACCACAGCTGGAACTCGCCCCTCTTACCCCCAAGCACTGCATCCTCCTCTGAACCCACGGGCATTAACCACTCTCCTGGCCAGAAGATGTCTTCAAAATGAATGTAATCAACACATCGTCAGAGCAGCCTCGCAGGCCACCCTGGTTAGGTCTGTTTCTCTTCTGCCCTCCTGGACTGGGGGTGAGGTGCCTTGGCAGGGTCATGTCCGTGAAGTCGGTGCCTCCTCCACCCCTCTGCCCCCCCCAAAGGCTCCTGTCCCTTCCCTGAGTCTAGGCTTACCTGCACCTGTGGTCCCAGCTGCACACAAAGATGCCAGCTCTATGTGGGTCCTGGGTCTGCCCACAGTGGGGAGCTGCTCTTATATCCCCAAGGCAGGGATGGTGCTTCCCTCAGCACCAATTCAACTGAGAGCTTCTCCTCTCCTCACAGATCAGTCAAATCTTACTTGTTCCATGTCAGAACAGGCAACACAGCACAGCCTCTCTGTTTACTGCTGAGTTCTGAATCTGGCTTCTTTCAGCCTTATAATCCTGTAGGGTGTTTCCCTTCCTTTATCTCATTGGACAGACTGCAGATGCAATCAGCCTTGGGGAAATGAAAGGCCCCTGATGACATTTCCCATATTCCTCTCTGATGGAATTTTCTGCACAAGGGCGTGGTTAGGAGGGTGGGGGGCGTGGTTAGGAGGGTGGGGGTGGGGTGGAAGATTTGACTCACTGTCTCTTGTTTTTATCTCCTCCGACTTCTCCACTGAAATTCCTCCAATTTAATTAGTGATCTGATTTCTGGGTCCATTGAATACTTTGAAAAGACCTCATCTTGACTTTCTCAAGCAGGCAGATGCACAACTTGGTAAATAGCCTTGTCCTGTTCCTTCTCAGGCAGTTGTTTCTTTTGTTTGTTTTGTTTTTTTTTATTTTACTTCTTTTTTTTTTTTTTAATTTATTT